TAGCTTAGTTTTCCCCCAATTGATTTTTAAGGCTTGCCATGATGGAAATCGGGTAATTCTGATGGATGGTACCCACACAGGCACAGCAGCCGTAGAAACCCTGGTGCGTAGTGCAGTCTCAACRTTGGGTTTGGATTGGATGAAAAGAACAGAGCAGGTTCCTGATTTCTATTTGGTCGTCGGTGAGGGAAAAACTGGGTTCAGTATTTGTGGGAAAGAGTCTGAAGATAAAAACCGATCGCAGCTCGTTTTTTTGTCGCTTCCAGGGTTTCTACAGCATCAACTGTTTGCTTTGCACCGGGGTCAACGGTCAAACCAGCTTTTCCTCCTCCCTGCCACGTTCCTTTACCAGAGATGAACGACTCGACTCGGTGGCTGTTACCGTTAACGAGCTAAAAGCAAAAGCAGGTTTGAAACCAAACCTGTGCACCATCAACATGTGGTGATAATATAGTTACAATGGCTTACAATAGGAAAATACAGTGATTTTCACCAATAAGGACGATTTGTGCAGTGAAAATGTTTTTTTTCCCCATTTATCCATTTACTTACCACATTCTTTAGCTTTTCGTTAGATGGCAGTCGACATACAGTACAGTATCCTACTGAATCCGCAGCTTAAAGATTGACAACCAACAGTGCGCTGTACATTATTACCTCACGTCTTCACAGAGACTTTCTTTAGATTATTATGTATTGCATCTGAAATTGCTTTGTAAAGGAAAAAAAAAGAAAATTAACTAAGTCAAGGAAACACAACCTTCTAGTGTGATAGTCAAAGATTTCTCTTATTTTGTCTTTGCTACAGTGTCGTGTTGGACTTTTCCCTTCATTTCCTCCCTAAATGAACACACTGAAACAAAACTGACCTGAAATCCTGTCTTATTAGTAATCAACAGGGACCCACCTGTAGCTATTAGAAAAAGAAAACAGAAAAACACACAATACATTTTGTTTACAATGAGGCATAGTGCTATATACACATTATATATTCATATATTGTTTTTTTAACATGTAAACCAGCACATTCTCTCACTTTTTAGTAGTATACATACTAAGCACAAATAGTTCACAATTGGTTTAAACTTTTTTTTTCCTTTTTGAAAGGTGACTGTTTTTTTTGTTTGTTTTTGTTGATTTTTTTTATCAGTATGTATAGCACTAAAGTGTATTTGTTAGGTTTGGACATCTGTGAGCCTGCAGAAGGTGCACCCTCCCAGACTTGCTGTTATTTTTATTCAAAGTACTGAATAAGGCGCCTTTGTACTTAAGTGTGCGTTCCTAATAAAGTCAAAGGAGAATCAAGTGATGTAAACATTCTTTTTTTTTTCACGTGTGTGTGTGTGTGTGTGTGTGTGTGTGTGTGTGTGTGTGTG